ACTAAACCCATAACGTGCATACACCTAAATTTATATGCGTCACCATATAAATGTAAATTTATACATAAGCCATAATGCGAATACACCATATGATGTAAACTGATTGATGTTGTCCACCATCACAGTGTACAGAAACTGTGTCTACCGACACAGGTGTACACAAATTGTGTACATGTCCACTAAACATCATAAATTTCATAACAAATATAACATAGTTCATGCCTTTCCAAGTTTAAATATAGGGAAACATAGTGTACGCTAGAAACAAACCCGAAAAACAAAGCGAAATCACAGTGTACACAAACTGTGTCCACCGTCAAGGGTGTACACAAACTGACTGTGTACACCCTGTCCAGTAAACATCATAAATTTCATAACAAATATAACTTATTTCATAACAAATATAACATAACAAATATAACAAATATAAATTTCATAATAAAATTGAGAACAAATATAAGTTTCCCTTTCCAAGTTTAAATATAGGGAAACATAGTGTACGCTAGAAACAAACCCGAAAAACAAAGCGAGATCCCCATAAAAAAAACAACAAGAGACACACAAAAAAAAATGTGGCTCGCTCTTTCCTACACACAACAAAAGACACACAAAAGCCACACCCGGTCAACCCAATGGTTCCTTGCATTTTTCCCGGTTATGGCCGGCATTTCCACATTTCGCAACCTTCAACAGCGTATATCACTAATCAGTAATCAGTAATCAGTATGACTGGGAAAAAAATAATTGTTTAGTGTACACTAACCTGAGGATACTCTCCTGCTGAAAGTTTTCTCTTCGTCGTAGGCCTTCCTGATGGACGTTTTGACTTAGGTGGCATAATATTAAGGTCACGCACCTCTGCTGGGATACGAATGTCGTCAGGGTCGGGCACTGGTAGGATTTTGCCACAAACTGTTGCACTCCAAATTGATTTCTTAAGAATTGGATCAACCAAACTGCTGTACTCCACTTGCCGAAGCCTAGCCGCGGCCATTGCATGTCGGCAAGGGTATTTCAATGTCTGAAACTCTAGACATGAGCATGTTTTGTTTAGGAGATCAACAAGCCTCCGTACACCGAACTCAGAACTCACTTCAACCTCCCACAAAGAAATGCCTTGAACCGATAGTGCAGCAGCTTTTTGCTGCTGCAGGTTCATTAACTTGTCAACCTCTTCTATAATGTCACCATCCATCTTTTGAATTTTCTCTCTTCTGCATTCAAGCCACCTACTTAACATTCGCCTGATAAATTCTAGCATTGCAACGATTGGATTGTCTCTTGCAGCGAATAGTGCATTGTTCAGAGACTCTGCAATGTTACTGGATGTCATATTATACCTCTGACCAGAAAAGTGTGATCTAGTCCACAGCGCAAGAGGGAATTTTTCCATGTACTCCCAACAACGATAATCCACATCCTTCAGCCTTGCGTATAGTTTCTTGAAATCAGAAACTGTGAACGCTTCTCCAGCCTTTCCGACCAACCCTTTCTGACCGGAACCTTTGTATTTACCGTGAACATTTCTCTGGATATGGACAAGACATGCACCGTGGTGTGACTGTGGATACCATTTCTTTTTAGCTTTGGCAATTCCACCGTGCCTATCCGAGATAATAGTAAGATCAGAGGAATCTGGAATTATTTCTAACAACTTCTCAAAGAACCACCTCCACGTCTTGTCAGACTCTGCATCGACAACGGCGAACGCTATTGGAAATACCTGGTAATTAGAATCTTGTCCACTGGCCGTTAATAGGCAACCCTTATACTTACCAGTCAGGTGAGTCCCATCAACAACAACTACTTGTTTCAAATGTTTCTATCCAGATATACACGCAGCCAATGCCATAAATACAGACTTAAACTTGGTTATACATTTTCCATCTTTTTCATCTCTCTCGCTCTCGGTTGACAAATGCGTTATGGTGCCGGGGTTAGCATACTTGAGCACATGGAGGTAAATCGGTAATAATTTGAAAGAAGTCTCCTCTGTTCCGTGAGCAGAGTATATAGCCAGCTCCTTAGCTTTCCAGCATTTCCAGTACGAGGCTGTAATATTATATTCGGAGAGAACAATCGCAGGTAGCTGACTCGCACGTGGCCCAACTATTGCATTCTCATACTTAGACTTCAGCAGAGCCGACTTTAGAAGTAGCATGTTTAGAAAATTTCTTTCTTGTATCCGGATGGCATGTATGCTTCAAACACGCCTTCCTCACCTCATACAATGCAGACTCGCCAACTTGACACCCCAACACTCTCCAATCACATATCTTTGATGGACATTCGGCGACTGTGTACTTCTTCGTATGCTTTTTGAATTCGAACGTCACTATATTCTTCAGCGCATTGATGGCCAACGTGATTTTAAAGTGTTCCTTGTTCCTGAACTTTTTCCCAACCCATATCTCTCCATCTTCATTTGACAAATCAAGTTCATCGAAATCCCCTCCCATTTCATCAGAGACTGGTGCCACATCCGGAAATCCATATAGTTCTGTACGTTTAATCGCTTTCTTCAGCTATGCACCGCCATTCTGACGCCCCCAACTGACATCACCTGTCGGAGTCTGCACAAAATCATCATCATCTCCATGGGGAGCCACAACATTCTCACATACAGTCCTCTTTCTTCCAGGAAAATGAATAGGACTCTTTGTTAAGACAATGGAGTTGTCCATATGGTTTGAATCACTCGGCTCACTTCCGCGAGTACTTCCACAACCCCCTGAACTACCAGAGTCATCCTTATCCTCATCAAATCCAGGTTTAGAATGGAAACCCTTACCATCTGCTAGTACGTAATCATTCCACCAGTCAAAATCATAATCCGGATCATAATCATCATCAGAGCCGTGTGCGTCATCATCAACATCATCGGCTTCCTTCTCTTCCGAATCTCTCGCTTCGTCTGATTCCTGGGACATTTTTAATTCCAACTCAGGGTGGTCAACAGAGACAGCGTGACTTGGAACATCAGGTTTTACATTAACGGAGGTGTTAGTGCTGGCCTTAGCCTCTACTTTCTCTGATTCCTGGGACATTTTTAATCCCAATGGATGATGGATAACAGAGACAGCTTCAAGTTGTACACCTTTGGAGGTGTTCATTGCGGCCTCTGCCTCTACTTTCTCGGCATGTGCTATCAGCAAACAATCATCGATATCTTCATCATCTGCTTCATCATCGGGTTCACTAGACTCTGCCGAAGAAGAGGCTATGAAGTTTGTTGGCCCTAAGGACTTTCGCTGTTCCCTCGCTATTTGAACTTCAAGACTTTCCTTCCGTTTCAATCTCACCATTTTACCATTTACTGACTCCTTGAATGTGACAAATAAATTCACAGACTTGTCAGACTTATGCAGCGAAAGGAAGAATTTGTACTCTCGAGGAGTAACTATTACACATGGACAACTCCCATCACCATTAAGCTCAGCTAGAACATCATCAAACCAGTAGGAAATCTCCACTGAAACAACTCTCGGGTCTAATCCGAACTCATGCGCAATCAGATTTCTCAAATCATCTGGTCCGGACACATCTTTGCAATTTATGCACCTTCCACGACGAGATATGTCCATTTTGAAATCCCATTCTCCTGTATAGTACCTTATCCACGTTCCCGCCATAACAAGAATGAACGCATCCACTGCAATTCGCGAACACCATATCTAAAAAACTACTGGCAAATAACAGACACCAGTCCGAAAAAAAATTCGAAAATAACAATGACAAATCTATGGGTGTACAATAATAGGATTAAGTAACTAACCGTGGTTGTTGTCCTCTTGATCATCGCATAATTTCCCCTTCAATTTCAACATCTTCTGGAAAGGGAAACTAGGTTTTCTAATTTGGTTAGGGTACTTTGTTTCTTATTTTAACCAAATTTATCTCCATTATCTCTAATTAACCACAATTTTTCCCGTCAAAATTAAAAAGAGAATGGGAAGGGTAGTTTTGCGTGTAATGAGTTGGGTAGTTTTCGGCCCATAACCGAGGCCCAGTAAGGTGGTTTTGGGAATTTCATTCCGAAATTCGAAATCAGGCCCAAAAAACGACCCAATCACGCGCGTGAGTGCTCTCTTCCCGGCTGTTATGCGCGCGGACGTAGACTACGCCTGGAACCCACGATATTTTCTGCGTCTGTCTCTCTCTAAGGAACAGACTGCTCTGTATCTCTCTCTCTCAGAGAGAAGGGTAAGTTTGGCATTATGAAAGTATGTCCCTACCCTGACTAATTAAAACTTAAAACTACCATTTTCTCAAATAAAAACTTAAAAACGTCCTTATTTTCAAAACAACCCTAAATCATATGTGGTTATAAGCTTCTAACCACTTCTCTTTAACTTTGTTATTCTCTCCAACGTTCATATTGACTCAGGAAACTTCTTATTAGGCCTGAGAGCTTCTTGCTAAATCAGACAAAATGCCTTATTATTTTCATACTTAACCATATGTTCGCTTCGTATTGATATTGAGAGATCATACCGAGGCTAACTATGTCTAAGGCTTTTATTGGTCTTCTCAATAAAATTGTCCTTATTCTGATTAGAATATAGAGAAAGTTTTGGTAAGACAATCTATATTGTCTAATCATCTAGACCATATTTTTCAAACATTTTTGGATATAAATGTCAAATTTTATACCATTTTGGGGTTTATACAAGCAATCCAAAAAAATAAATAAAAAATCTGTTAGTTTGTCTGACGCCTGCGGTTGTAGCGGCGACCTGCGACCAAACGCAGAACTGATCTCTCCGACTAATCACATTAATTCAAGCCACAACGCTGAATAAATTCAACGAACAACAATCAGCTGGAAGCCGCAGCCGCAGTTACCTGCGACAGATAAACAAACAGACCCAAAATGTAGATAGAGAAAAACCCAAAAGCTACTAAACATTTAATTTTCTCTTCTAAGGTATGATGAACACATCCCATACTAATTGGATTTGGTTTAGCTTAAAACTTGCTTAAACCCAAAACGAATAAGTAATAACAAGGGTACGGGTCTTTTGAAGTTAGAATTGGGTTTAGATTGATAACGACCACCTCTAAACATAATTTCTAAATATCAAAAGAAAAACCAATGAAACGAAAGAAGCAAGACGACGACTACGACGCCGTAGAGAAGCCCGTCTCTTCCGCCATCGCCACTACCATGAACACTGAAATACTTTTGCAGACATCTCCGAAACTCTCACAGAAGCAAGACTACATCTTCCATGGCGGTAAATAAACGAACCTCAAATCTCTCTAAATTCAACTAATTTTCTAGGTTTTTCTAATTGCTTTGATTTTGTCTGTGGCAGGGAGGCGCCATGTGAGGCCGTACTACTTCGAATTCATCTCTCATGTAAGTAATTTTATCTTCCTTATAGCTCTAAAGTCACAGGGGAGATATTGAAATTTGGTTCGATGCAGGTGAATAAACGCTGGACGGGGAAAACAATTGTGGATTTGTTCGCTGATGAGTTTAAAGGAAGAGCTCGTGAGTATTATGTATGTTCCTGCTCATGATTTTGTATCTGAAAGTGAATTGGTAAATGTGATTATCTTATGATTTAGCTCAAACATTGTTGCCAGGTTGGTGCTGTCAAATGTGGAAGAATTAAAGTCGATGGTGAGATTGTACCAGTTTCATATATTGTGAAATCATCGCAGAAGATTACTCACTTCGTCCACAGGTTGTCTTTAAAGCTAACTTGTTCAGGTCCAAACTTAGAAGTGTAGCTCAGGTTTTGTGATTGCATTGAATGTATATCTAAATTTTAGAAATGTGTGGAAGGTTTCAGGCATGAACCACCGGTGATGACTGATGATGTAGAGATCCTTGTGAAAGAACCTGATGTTGTTACTGTCTGCAAACCAGCTTCTATTCCTGTGAGTATTCCTTTGTATAATTTTCATTTCATGTGGTCTTTGGAGAGGAAACATGTTGTGTGCTCGTTTGCTGGAGAATGTGTGAACTGCGTTTTGCTCCGAATGATTGAATTAGTATATATCAAACGATGTGGATACAAATTTTTAAATTATATACATAACATGCTTAAATGCCTTTGTGGTGTGTGATTGCTATTTTGGTGACAGCGTCGATCTTCTTCTTGTTTTATAGGTGCATCCATGTGGTCAATACCGCAAGAACACGGTTGTTGGAATCCTTGATGCTGAACATGACCTGGGCACTCTATTTCGTATCCAGCACAACATCATTAGACGATGATGCTTAGTCTTAGTTTACCATTTTCCAAAATAATACAATACGAGCTATCCTTGCATCATATTACAGCTATACATCGATTAGACCGTTTGGTTTCTGGATTGCTCATCATAGCAAGAACTGCTGCAAAAGCTGATTTTTTCAGGCAACAGGTACTCGTTCGAATTGATCCCATTTTGCTTGGCTATACCATAACTCATAAGATGCTATTGGCTCTGGTTATAATCAGAATGTCATAGTTAGTAGTCATCTTGGTTGTTTCAGATTGAGGGTGGAATGGTGAAGAAACGTTATATTGCAAAGGTTATTGGCGTGTTCCCAGAAGATGAGGTCTGTAGTCCTTTTCACGTTATTGATGATTATTTTGGCTGTTTGTAATTGCCAACTATATACTGGTACACGGAATGATACTCACTACGGTACTAATGAACATTAAAACTTGATTTATGGCAAGTGATAGCATCCAAATCTCGAGATTTACCAGCTAATCTTGAGAGAGTTATCATATGGTAAATACCTGGGACTTTTGGTTGGAAAGCTTATTTGATGCATCTGCATGGCTTTGATGTGTCAGAAAATAGTCAACGCCAACATAAATTATAATGGCAGCGAAGGAATAAGCACAGCAGAGGTAAAGCCAACATTACCCCTCTAGATACAGAGCATAAAGTTTTCCATTTGAGATTTATAAGTAAAATATTGGAATGTGTATGATCTACGCAGGACGCCAATTCGAGTGGTGACGATAAGAAGGTGAAGGGGAAGCCTGCGTGTACCAAGTTCACTAGAATCGACACAAATGGGACTCATAGCCTCGTCTTGTGTGAACCAGTGACAGGGCGAACTCATCAAGTAAGCTAGTGATGATTATACGTATTACATAATGCCGATTTTATCAGCCATTATACATATTATAGTGGTAAAAACTCAATCTTTACATCTTACTAACCATGAGGAGAGTAAATAGAGAGAGTTAGGCCTTTTTGGTGTTTCTCATTTCGGTTTTTTGGTTATTGGTAGATACGAGTGCATCTACAATATACAGGGCATCCCATAGCGAATGACCCGCTTTATCTCCATCGACACGTGGATAATCTTGAGACCAAGATTGCCAAAAGAATTGATGCGGGTGAGAAAAAGATGGTCTCCCCAAACGACTACGTGTATTCCAGCGAAGATTTCAGCATCGACCCAATGTGCACGAACTGCCCAAAGTTGATCCCACAAGGGTAATAAAGATAGACTATCAAACCACCATCGTGTTCTTATTGTATTTGAGCCAAAATGTTGTCTCATGTTTCTAATTATGCAGGTACGAGGAGCATGACGAGGCTCTTTGGTTGCATTGTGTTCGATACTCTGGAACGGGATGGGAATACGAATGTCCTTATCCTTCTTGGGCATCGCTTTAACCAGATTTATTTGTCATTTCGTAGACAAGAAGATGTAATTGTTATCACCAACATTTTTGGCAACTTTATTGTATGCCTGGAAGAATATCAAGTTGTATCATTAAATTTAAAGATCCTCTCATCTCACTCTCAGACTTTACGCAATAGGTTCTGTGCCATTATCAGCTGAAACCGTGTACAAAAAGAGAACCACTTTGGAATTGGATTAGAGAGCCTAATAGCAAAACTACGTTACATATTAAGTATGAAGCGATTTGTAGTTGTGCTTCACATCTTAGTGTTCAAAACCTTTGCCGATACTCTTACCTAACCGCAAATTAATTTGATTTTCACAAGGCTTTTCAAAAACTAAACTTCTTCTTCTTCAGTGAGGCCTGTAGTTGTTAAGTTCATTTCTGGAATGCAAGGATCTGTCTATCAAACCCTTTGCTTGCGCCGGACAAGCTTGATGTAAGGTCTTCCACTGTCCTAAACCCAATCTGTGCCAAAACCACAACACAAGTACTTTGAACGTGAGAATCCGACCCTAAAACTTCCCACCGAGATCAAATGACAAAAAAAAAAGAAGCCAACAGTACTTCGCTGCACACAATACTGATCTACACTTTACCTGAAACTTTTGATCTAATTTTGAACAACACGACACTATGCATGGCATAATTTATAGATCAGGTAAGAGTATAGGCAAAGTAAGGAAGTAAATGGAGAAGAAGAAGAGTACCTTATCAAGAAGAATTTCTTGGAAACGATCTGGACGTAAAACAATATTTCGGTAATTCATTGCAGTTGTCTGCAATTACAGAAGACAAACACAGATTAAAACTCTATATATAGAACTAACTTGTGCACTCTGAAACAATAGAAAGAAACTTTGTGTATCTACACACCACTGAGACACGACGATTGTTTTCATAAGATTTCCAAGGCTGAGGTTCCATTACAAAAATACCACCCTGAAAAGCAAAGCCAACAGTCAATTGCTGCGCATATGAGAAGAGAAAATGGACACATTCAAGTACAATGTAGTTACCGGGTTAAGAAGGCGCCAAATCTTTGAAAATAAGGTTATCAAACCGTCGTCACCCCAATTCAAATGAACCCATTTTGTCACACTCAAACTGCATCAAAGAGCAAAGATGCCATCAATAAAACTGTTTGTATTTGGATTAACTAAAGATGAGACCTCCTTTAGGAAACCGTGAGATCAAAAGGCTTAGTGACATAAGATTCTTTAGCCGAAAACCTCAGGCAAATATTGTCTCAATTACAGTAGTTGAGTCTCATACGTATTTTGTGGTATGAGCATTACCAACAAAATGGGTAACTTTCTTATGTTGCCAATTCTCTCAAAGAAGAAGAAGCCAAACATACGAGTGAAAAAATGGGCAAAGAAGAAAGGACTTTACCATAGAATAGTATCATAACGATTGTCGTCAAGATTTCGAGTTTGAACAAAGTTCTCTTTCTGAAACGAGACAATCTGAGACAGGTTTCTAGTTTCTTGGCTGTCTGTCTTTGTCTCACCATCGGAGAGAGATACAGATTGCTCCTTCAAACCCTCTGAGCTAGATTTCTTTTCATTTGGCATAGCAGAGTTCTGCATTCTGACAAACTTCCTAAGATGCCAGTGAGCATCCTCAATTCGACCTTCAACCAAAGGAAATCTAGTTCAATGCACAGGAAACGATTACTTAAACAAGATAAAAGTTATGAAAGCTTCCAAAATACGTATCAGGATTAAAGTATCTACTGTTCTGTGTTTCACTAGTTCAGACTTAATATGAGATACTAGATTCAATCAAACTAATACATTTTGTGCAGCCTTGAATAACAACGTATGTAGTTAACAGTTTAATTCATTTCCTACATAGAAAAAAAAAAAGTTGGAAGATATTATGACAACTAATAGTTCTTACTTAAATCAATATCAACTCCAAGAATGCTCCGGCAACCAAACTTCTTAGCTGAAGAAAAAAAAAAGAAAAACCAATATATCAGATAACAATACTTGAAAAATGTAGATGCCAACAGCTTCAATCTATAACAAAGAAAAAAGAAACCTTTTCAGTGCTCTTGAAAAAATGTGTGAACAAATTTATAAGAAGCATAAGAAAATTTACCAATATGGATAGTCATAATCCCGCTATTGCAGCCAATGTCAAGACAGTCTTTGCCCTGAAACCATTCTTTCTTCAACACTTTAAGCCGAGGATCCTCATCCATGTCATGGCCAATCTAACACATTTTAAGTTTTGTCAAAAAGAAGACCCAAAATCAGATACTTAAAACCAATCACAGAAAACACTCTAAAACATCAAAAAAGACGAGCAGGCTCACTCTGTATCCATAGTAGTTTCTGTAGTTTCCGAATGGAAAAACCTCTTGGCTTTTCTTCTTCTTGCTTGGATTCCCTTGTTGCCCTTGTTGTTGCTGCTTCTGATTCTGCTTCTGCTTCTCTTCATTAGTTACTACTTTCTCAACACTATTCTCACTGCTTCTTTTCCTCTTCTGCTTCTTCTTCTTCTGATCGTTGTCCCGAGCCATTCTTTCGCTCACACGCCGCCTGTTGATGAACACTGGGAAATTGTGCGGCTGGACAAATCTCGCGGAGCTAGGGTTTCTATGTTACCGCGATCAAATCGCCTAAGAGAATATTCGAAGACGCTTTGCTACGGAAGTTTACTGGAGAGGTCGATTAAGCGGCGCAGCAAGCGAGGAAGAAGAAGAAACGTCGTTAAAGGTTTTTGGGATTTTTGTCAAAGTCGAAAAAAGGGTTTAACGTGACTCTTAACTAGTAATTCTCGTTTATTTTGGAATTATTATTTTCGTAAACCGACTATTGCAAATATAGAAAGTTTCATTTAGCTGTAATGATATGCTCAAGCCTTTTGTTGAGAAATTAATTGGCAAAGAGTAACTTTGTTATGGGAATTACGAAAACCCAAAGAAAATGCCAAAAATTGCACCAATGAACCATACAATTCAAATTTTACCACAAACACAAACCTTTAAAAAAAAGGTTTATAAATCAGATTTTTTTTTCAAGTAGTGTGGAGGTCATTCTCAATAGAAAGCTTTTATGAGTTTATGACTAAAGTGTTGAAAGATAAAAACGAAAGGAACTCAAAATGTTGCTCTTCTCTCATCAAAATATTGTACAGAAATTCTAAACATAATTCTCTTCTTCTTTGCCTCTTTAAAATTCTTCAACATCATCTCTTGTTAATCGAAGCAACTTTTGCACACGATGAACCAGGCTGATGATAAAAAAGCACTTCCTGAAGCAAAAAGGCAAGCTGCTAACTTTTAACACCAATTTTGCCTTTAATCAGTATGGTCTGTAACGCATGGCCCGTCTGAACCTAGGAACTCTCCTGCATAAATTCACAATTTTCAACATATATCATTAATGATCTCTCTAAATACATAGACACTGAATCAAACAAACCGTTGCTGGTTAAAAGAGAGGAGGCAGAGAAGTTTTAAGAACGTACCCATAAGCATATGGAGGATAAAATGGAGGTCCAGGCATGAATCCCCTCATGGGTCTAAAGGGACGCCTTCCTCGGAATTGCTTCATTCCAGGGACGTTGGTTCTCTTAGCAGATACCTGAAAATGGATTAAACGAAGTTTTGTAATGACAATTATCTTTAGGTACAAGACAATTAAATTAACTACATGGTCATTGAGCGAGTTTGTACCTTTATCTGACGACCATGCAGTTCTGACTCGTTCAAAATAAGAGAATTCTGAACGGCTTCTACTTCCACAAATTCGACGTAGGCAAAACCTTTAGGTTGGCCAAACTTATCTGTCAGAATCGTAACCCTATTAACTGTTCCACATGATTGAAAATGCTGCTGGACTTCCTCTGGAGTACATGCATAGTCCACCTAACATACACAACACACCAAAGACACAGGAAAGCTAAAGAATCATCGCGGACTAACACATCATAGATAATGATAAAAGCAAAGATGGAGAGAATAGGATTTAAGTATATATTTAGCAGGTGTAATTACTAGAGATTAAGAGAATCAGCCACCAAATTTCATTGATACCACAACAATATAAACAAACTTCTGTGAAAACGATTCAAGCATATACGAGATGGTGGAAGCCTCACATTGCCAACATATATTGAACGAGAATCCACTTCCTCCTTCTCAGCTGCACTAATACCACTTGAAGGGTCTTCATTGATATGCAACAAAAAAACAAAAGGGCATTGACCTGATTAGCTCTAAAGAGTATTCTTGCCTAGAAGACTACAATCGATTCTGCACCAAAACAAGAAATTACTAAATTCTTAATAGATTCCTTGATTTACTAAAAGGTTCCAAGTTCATAATCAACAAGACAATCTCTCTCAACCTAATCTGTCAAAGATTGAAGCTGAAATATAAGTTCAGATACGAATCAGCACAACTAAAGATAAGAACAAACCTTGACCAGAACCCATATCTTTCTCAGCTTTGGCTTGCATTTCACGCAAAGCCCCAGCTTCTTCCTCGATCTCCTTAATTCGCTTCTTCATGTCCTCTAAATCCTACCCAACCATACGAGCAAAAACAAAAGAGTAAATAAATACAGTTGGAAACTTGAAAAAGGATCAATTAGATAAAATCAAAAGCTGGATCGAAGAAACCCCAATACCCTAGAGCTAGAACCAGGTTCAAGCTCCTCATCTCCGGCGGCTGCGCCTTCTTCTCCGCCGTGTTCTTCATACTCCTCCGTATCCATCTCTCCTTCTTCCTCCTCAGGGATCTCTCCACCGTACACCTCGTGCTCTTGCTCATCGTGCAGCGGCATCCTCCTCTCTCTCTCTATCTCTCTATCTCTCTCTCTCTCTCTCTCACTCGGCGACTGTCGTTAAAGCGAGAAAACAAAAGCTTCGGAATTTTAGGGCTTGAAAATCGAGCAAGAAAGGGGAAAAAGGGTTGTTCGTAATAACAGATATCCAAAAGGGGTAATTTTGGAATAATCAAATCTTAAAAAACAAAAGTATTGGACCTTACAATGGACGTGACGTGTTAAGTGGACCCTACTTTAGCTTTAATGTAGGTCCCACTCTTGATGACATGGCACCTCATCCTTTCATAAACTAAAGAAGTGTGGTCTGAAATCGAAAAACTGAAAATTCTATCTTTTCCTCTGTAAAAACAGAGCAAAACGACGACGACGACGATGGCTGCCACGTCATCTCCGCCGTGTCATATCTCCGTCTCATTCCTCCGTCAACTTCCTCCTTGCACCACCGTTCAATTCTTGGGTTTCTCACCGGCGATTTTGACCCACCGTAAACTCGGCCGGTTAACGGTAACCCGGAATAATCTGGCGCAGGATTTTCTGGGCGATTTCGGGGCTCGAGACCCTTACCCTGAGGAAATTGCGAGCCAATTCGGAGATAAAGTGTTGGGGAACCAAAGCACTGAGCATAAGATTCTGATTCCTAACGCCTCTGTTCTCTCCCTCTCGCAGCTTCAATGCTCCCCTGTTTCGCCTTCAATGGCTCCTTTATCTGCCGAAGATGCCAAAACTCTCCTCCATAAGGTCAATTTTCGCTGAAAATTATTTTTTTTGGTTCTAAAATGTTCGAGTTTTGATTTGACAAGTTCGTCAGTAATCAAAATGTTGTGAATAAAGGGGTTTAACGTAACGACTCAAAACTTTGAAACCTTCTTTTCTCAGTAGAAGCTTCTTAGGTATCTATACAAGTCCACTCATAGTTATGTTTATGGAATTTTTTATGCGATAATGTTCTCTATCAAATTGACTTTTGAAATTACAACCATGACATTTCACATTTGTAATAAATCTCAAACGAATATCAAGTTCCAGAAAGTTAGAATTGTGTGACTCAGGATAGGAATGATGGTTAATAGATTGAAAAAAAAGTTAGAAGTGTTTGTAAGGGTCATGTGTTGCTCTTTCTTATTGCCTAATTTTTTTTTTTTTTAAATGGAATCCATGAATTTTCAGTCATAGTTTATGAACTAGTGTTCACAATGGCAAATATTATAAATCAATCTGAAGTTTTGTATGTCATAGTTTGTTTATAACTAAATGAACTCTGTGTTGTTTGCCACAAATCACAAGAATTGTGTTCATAATCATATATGTTCTACTAGATTTGGATTCACCGTGACTACTCTAATGATGTGCTATCTATATGTAAATGTTTCAGGTTTTGGGATGGAGTATAGTAGAGGACGTAGCAGGCGGTTTGAAGATAAGATGCATGTGGAAAGTGAGGGATTTCGGGTGCGGTGTTGAGCTTATAAACAGGATCTCTAAGGTTGCTGAAGCTTCTGGTCATTACCCTTCTCTCCATTTAGAAAATCCTACCCAAGTTAGAGCTGAACTATCCACTGCTTCCATTGGTATGTCAAATCAAAACAAAACAAACATTATCGTACGTTGGAGCTTTAGTAGTTTATAGGTTTCTTAAAACAATTTGTTTGTTGTTTATTATTGGATGAACAATACAGGAGGTTTAAGCATGAACGATTTCATAATGGCGGCCAAAATAGATGATATCAAGACTTCTGATCTTTCCCCTCGGAAAAGAGTTTGGGCATGAAACACTATGCTTCTTTTTTTTTGTTCTTTCTCATTTCATTATTTTGTAACAGTGTTTTATGATATATATCTTGGGTTCTCTATATTCCTTCATCGTGTATGGATGGTCCACATGTCAACTTATATAGAAGCTATGTATTCATAAACATCTTGGATAGCATTTGACATAAAAAAAACAAATACAGTATTGAGATCGAACAATAAGGATCCAAAATGAAACTTGAGAACATTAAGAAATATTTCTAATGTGTGTGATTCACAAGACATATAAAAGGACATATGATTTATTCATCAATCATTAGAAGAGAACCTCTGATGGGCCAAGCAAGTAGAGTTTGAGGGAGAGCTGAGAAGAGGAGGCCAGGGACGACTTCCCCGACCACGAAGAATGACTCAAGCCTAAGCTGAGGGGATATAAGAACTTTGAGCCTCTATGGCTCGAACGGTCGCTGAGATCCGAGCCATGAAGTCCCAGGTGCACAACACAACAAGCGTTGCGCCAGTAATTAATCGTATGCTCAAAGAAACCCAAAGAACACCATTTATGGCTAAGATCACAAAAGCAAGGATCCCCGAGCTAGGCAAGGTCATAATTCTTTTTTACGAGAGAACCACAGATCCAAAGGCGCATATCACGGCCTTCCGTATCGCAATGGGATGAGCCTTCACAAAAAATGCAGCAAACCTGACCGAGCAGAAGAAGGATGCTGGCTTCTGCCTCTTGTTTGTGGAACACCTCAAGGGAGCTGCACTGGAATGGTTTTCCAGGTAAGATCACAATTCGATTAACACCTTCCAACAACTCTCCGCTCTATTCCTTAAGCAATATTCGATGTTCATGGATCGGAGAACTTCTGACACTGATTGATGGACATTATCTCAAGGACCAAACGAAACTCTTCGAGATTACATGACTCGATTCGAAGCAGTTGTTTCCAAGGTAGAAGGAGTAAGCGAAAAAGCTGCCCTCGCAGCATTGAAAAGGTCACTATGGTACAAAATAGATTTCAGAAAAGAGATCGCTCTGCATACGCCCCTCATAATCCAAGATGATTTGCACCAAGCCTCCGACATCATAGTCAACAAAGAAGAGATAAAGATCCTAGACAAAAAATACGAGGCAGCAAAGACAGCAATCCAGAACGTCACCACGAAACCACACCTTAGAAGAAATGTCCACAACAAAGAATATGTGCACCGTGAAGAACCTGAGACCAGTGATGCCCATAACTACCAAGTAGGAAGGAGTGCATGGAAGTTCCGTGGGATACATGGACAATGAACTCCAATGGTTACGAAGAGACATACAACTTTTCAACCAGAAAATTTGGTGATGCCGTAAACCTGAATGATTTCGAACAAGGAAAAGAGGACGAACAACATGATCAACCGAACCAAGGTGATTCCTCTAAGTGAGGAAGGAGATATGACGAGGAAGCACAGCCGGGTCCTCAAAGTATACTAAAAACAGGTGGATTACAATACTTTTTCAACACGGTATCGTCAGTCAAACAAAATTATCACTAAGCTACACCAAAAATGAACTACGAGATGGCTTGATCCCTGCAAAGGGTATGTAGGAAGTCTATCTTTGGATGGGTTTAGCTGTCCCCATTCCTAAAAAAGAGGGGTGAGGGAAGTAGGTACATATACATATACTTACACATTTTTGTTAGATTTCGGCTCGTTGACCTAGCTATTACTAGCTTTCGTTTTGCTTTGGCTAGCTTTTCACTTTCTATCATTTTACCTTAAATTTCTTTATCATTTTGTTTCGGAAAATTTTTCACTTATCTATTATTTTTTCTATGACAAAACCTCGTTACTATCTCGCTTCGGGAAAAACTTTCCATACTTCGGAAAAAAGCTTTGCTTCAATAAAAAATACTCGTATCTTACTTTTTGACGTCTAAACACTTACAGACTAGACACCTCGTCTCGCTGCTGGCCACAACGAGACAACAAGAAAAAAATTCTCTAAATGGATTTTTTACCACTTTTCCTAATACGAAGGTGCAAGAGACATCTTCTACGGATCAAAATAAAGCACGCTATATAAATCTCAGACTAAACACATCGGTTGCACCAATTCACTATCGTATTCGGGAATATAAGTCGAGACTACATTACATTCCCTAAAAATCAAAGTGAATTCTAAAAACCTGGCTAAACATATATATCAGCTCGGAAATGCCGGTCCTTAAACATATTGTGAAAAAGTTTTCACGCACGGGTTCGGAAATCTATTTCAGCCCCCACCTCGTCACCAGAAAAAATTCAGCCTAAATACTTCATCATAAACCGTACAAACACTTCAGCACGACTGCCGAAAAAACAACAAAAAAACACTATCTTCGTGGTCATATTATACCGAAAAGACGAGTTCCTAGACTCCAACGTGTCACACTTTCTTTTAAAGTCCATCAGCTTGTTACGTCACCAGAGCTTGCTTGTACACCAACTCCTAAAATATATTTGAACTCGTCAACTCTCGCTCCAATAAACAAGATCTATCTTATATCCGCACAGCTACATACTTACGTATGCTCTTGGCTTGGCAAGGAAATATGAGATCAAAACTATCTCACCTCAGTCCAGCAAGAAACAGTGCGATTATGGCATACTCACTTTGGCTCGACCAAGAGAGATGTCCATGGCATCCTCAGATTGGTTCGGCTAGATTAAAATATTATCTCATCCTCACCTCAACTCACTCTGCTCTCGATTAGCTTGACAACTTTCACCTTGGCCTGTCGACTAGGAATCATCTTGTCTTTTCACCAAGGCATAATCTTGCCTCGTCTGCTAGGCGTCATCTTGTATCTTCGCCTAGCCATCATCGGCTCGTCGCCTAGGCATCACTTCACCTTGTCGCCTAGGCATTATCTTGGCTCGTCGCCTAGGCATTACCTCGGCTTGTCGCCTATGCATGATCTTTCTTCTTGCCTAGGCATAATCTTGCCTCGTCGGCTAGGCTACATCTTGTATCGTCGCCTAGCCATCATTAACTCGTCGCCTAGGCATCACCTCACCTTGTCGCCTAGGCATTATCTCGGCTTGTCGCCTACACATTATCTCGGCTCGTCGCCTAGGCATTATCTCGGCTCGTCATCTAGGCATCAACTTGCCTTTTTGCCTAGGCATAATTTTGCCTCGGCATAATTTTGCCTCATCAGCTAGGCATCATCTTGTATCGTTGCCTAGCCATCATCGGCTCGTCGTCTAGGCATCACCTCGCCTTGTTGCCTAGGTATTATCACGGCTGGTCACCTAGGCATTATCTCGGCTCGTCGCCTAGGCATCATCTCGCCTTTTTGCCTAGGCATCATCTTGCCTCGTCAGCTAGACGTCATCTTGTATCGTCACCTAGGCATCACCTCGCCTTGTTTCCTAGGAATCGTATCGGCTTGTAAGCTAGGTATTATCTCGGTTCGTCGCCTTGCCATCATTGTCTCGTCGCCTAAGCATCACCTCGCCTCATCGTCTAGGCACTATCTCGCCTTGTCGCCTTGGTATCATATTACCTTGTCGGCTCGACATCCTTTCGCCTTGTTGGCTTAGCATCTCTTCAACCTCTCTCCATTACCATCTTGTCTTGATGACAATAGCAATTAGACAACTCGACCTGCTCGACACTTTTTCAACAAAACAATGAAGGAGGCTTGTAAATAGCAAAAGATCCTAATAGCAGCGTGTGAAACCTGTAGCGTTCACTTCTCCTGACTAAGTCCAGTAACAAGCCGCATCTAGATCACACATCTCGGCGTAAAACTCTTACCCAAAAATATCTAACATGCCTCGACATGAACTCTTTCCAAAAATGCATCGGCGTTGACTTTCTTACACACGCCTCGGCGTTAAATTTCTTACACACGCCTCGGCATTAACTTCCTTGAAAAACGCCTCAGCATTAACTTTCTTACATAAGCTTCAGCATTAACTTCCTTGAAAAACGCCTTGACGTTAACTGTCTTACACACGCCTCGGCGTTAAATTCCTCAAAAAACACCTTGCTCTTAACTTTCGACAAACGCCTCGTCATGGACTTCGTTTCAATACACCACCGAGGCGACATCACTTTCTCGTCATGGCTCAGTACAGCTCGATTGCAAGAAGATGAAGTTTGCCGTACTATGGCTCGACATAAACATGGCATTATGGGTTGGATATCCTCGGTTCGGAGAGATAAAATATATATATCTGACAGCTAACCTTGGTCTGATAATTTTGACCTCGTCATCTTCGCCCCCAAAGCTAACAAGCACGGGGGCTAATTGTTGGGGTTGGATTTCACCCCGACAAGTTTAGCTATCCAAAAGATGACTAAGTATAAAATGAAGGATACTAGGCCCATTCCACTAAACAGACCCGAGCCGCGACACAAGTTGAGCTGAGCCGCACCGCGACAACAAGCCCAATCAAGACGAGCTGCACCGTGACAACAAGGTTTAGTTGGGCCGAGCCATGCAGCAGCGTTATGACGAGCCGTGCTGGTCCTCGCTGCGGTAGTGGGCCGAGCTGAGTAAGGAGAAACAATTGAATCGAGCCCAATGTTAGATTAACAGGCTGAGCCAGAGGACAAGCAGCATTAACGGGCCTAGCCAAGAAGGTGCGAAGCCCATTAAAGCAAGCACGATGTCTAAAACCTAGATGAAGGTTTAAGGCGATCGCTGGGCGAAGAAATAAGGAAATTTTTCGAGAATCTTTCCAGAGATTCTTGGCTAGGTGGTTTATAGAACATTTGTATAAATAGTCGGTGTATTTTATCCACAATGTAACTTTTGCAACCCTAAGTAATATGACTAAACACTTTTCACATCAATAAAAATCCTTTTTTGATCTTTGTGTTCTTGCGATAAACCTTAGAAATTTCGGATTCCTCTAAGTTTCTTTACAAGTTTTGATTTTGCGAGTTTTTGCTCACAAAACTATTATTTGCAAGATCAAAAATCTTAGGTTTTCGTCTCCACAGGAATTGTCCTACGTGGCATTAATGAAAAAATATTATGTGTCATTTTAATTTGTTTTGATAGGCCGATCATTAATTCTACGTGTAAAAACCTGTGACAGGGCTTTTTATTTGATAATGGGCCAGCGATTTTGTTTTCGGTCAGAGCCACCGATTCTGGTAATGGAGCACTGACGTCGAAACCCTAAACCCTAAAGCATATATCCTACTATATATATCCGTATCACCTACATATATTTTACATACAACAACCATCTCCTAAGGTCTAGCAATTTTTTATAAAGCTCGTCCACCTATTTTTTACAAATACTGTACATTTTTTGTATATCCCGATTTGGTTTAAATTATATCGTTTTTTTAGTTGGTTGTTATTCCATGCTAACTTTTTAATCGTTTTGTTCTGATCGGGATTCTTCTATGCTAACCGGTCAAATATCTATGCTTTTTTTATTGTGTTATATATTACTATGCATCACAGCTATCTTATTTTTTTAACTCCTGTTTTAATCTCTATGCGATTAGTCATTGAGATATCATATTTTTGTTTTTTTGTTTTGCTTTGTAAATCTATATATAAATTTTGTTGCTCTAGTATTAGATATTCGTGTTCCTCTTTATTAAGTTTTTTCTGTGGATATATTTGAGTTATTGTTCGTAAATATAGATTGACCTGAGCTTTTTTATTGTATTCCTTGAACATAGAATTCATCCCGCAAACTATAGGTGATTGGTTCGAATTTTTGCAATCACATATTCAAATAATTAATCTAACAGGTACTTGTAAATAAATTATTAGTACATTTTTTGGTCAACAAATTATTAGAACTTCTAATTTGCATAATTGATATTCGTAAACTCTCTAATTTATTATTTTGATCTTTTTAGAAGGTTCAAAACCATAGAAAAGAGTTTTCTTTGTGTGTATAAATCCTGTTTTAGTTTAGGTTTGTATTATTTTTTTCTGGTAACATATTTGTGAATGGATGTTATATATTGTTTGACTGTTGTTTGTTTCTCCTTGAATTCTACTATTTTATATTGTTGTTTATGTTTATTTTTAATTTTAAATATAATTTTCTGATTTATTTTCATGGTATCTTGTGTGGACATGCATCTTTAAGTAAAAAAAGAGTAATCAGTTCGGATTAGTTTTAGTTTTATTATTTACTAAAGATATGTAACATGAACAAAACAAGGTCTATTGTTTTATAATTTTCTCATTGTTTTCTGCCCAAAGGCAATTATGTCGTTTCTGGAAAAAATATTTTATAGTTTTGATTTTAACCCAACATATTCTTTTATCAGAAAAACATTAAATTACTCTCAAGACTAAACCTATCAGACATTAAAGCAATATTTTTGTTGGTAAGTCGATGAACGGGAATGTGATGTCTCATAACTTCAAAGAACAAAGGAAAAACAGCTGACAACGAGTCTAGATTCAGTATGACTAGAATCTTTACTCATGTCAAGTTCTTGTATTGATATATAATAATCGTATTGAGAACAGAGTGCAAACCAATTACAAATGGCACCATCCAATTGGTGTTGAATTATATTATGGTTAATCTTCTACCCACTTCTTAGTTTCATTGTTTGTTGATGAACTCATTAATTTTTTTTACCCATGATCAGAGATAAAACCAGCTGAAGGAAGGATAATCACCAATACAGAGGAAGAATAATGTTTGCTAGAGAAATATTGGTTCAGATTTAGACTTCTAAGTGTTCTTTTTTTTTTTCTATGGAGAGTTTCAGATTTAACCCATATTTCAAAGTCAAACACCAAACTAAACTCTTTTTTTTCTCTCTCCAACTTTTGCCGTTTTCTCACAATTTTATCCTTCCCACTTAAACTATTAACGAAAATGCCATTATACATCTATTATTTCAATTTTTATTTAATTTGGCTAAAGTCTCCTTGGACCTTCTAAAAACCTTTTTATTACGAGAATGCCATCTTCTTCAATTTCTTCAACCACCATGAACAACCATGAAAATAGAATAAATGCTTCTCAACCAATTTTAAAGCTGTAATAAGTAAAGATTTGAGCTCATTCACTCATAACCTTCCTAATTCTTTCATAATTTCTTCTCCAAAACATCTGGGCTAAGTTACAATGCCAAAAGTCATGCATTTTTGGTGATTTCTGGTTACTTAACATATGGGATGCTTATTTTTGGTGAAATCCTGAGTTCTGGGTGCTTAAAAGAACTGTAGCCGAGCTCAATTTTGTTAAAGGTAATCGTCGCACTTCAATTTCTCCATATTTCAGTTTTCATATCGCGAAAGTAGACTTCTCGTGAAGTATACTGAAGTCTACTAGTCAACATAAGGTTATTTTTGCAATTGACTTTTAAAAGTAGACTTCATTAAACCTCACGAGAAGTCTACTCGATATCCTTTGAAAACAAAAAAAAAGCATAGTAGACTTCATTTGAAGGCTTAAGAAGTCTACGAAAGAAAAGAGGTTATTTTTGTAGTTGACCGTATTTTGACTTTTTAATGTAGACTTCTTTCTAAAGTCTACTGTTTACGTCTGCACAAGAAGTCTACTTTTGAGTTACTTTTGTAGTTTGACCAAAAACGTATAGGTCATTTTAGTGTTTGACTAAAGTTTTTTAAAAATTAAAAAATTCATAAAACTCCGGAAAGCTGCAGTAGACTTCAGAAAGAAGTCTAAAAACTGTAGACTTCTTTGGGAAGTCTACTTATATTTTTCGGTCAAACTTAGAAGGAATCTTTTTTTAAGTAGACTTCACAGTGAAGTCTACTCAAAAAATTCAATTGCAAAATAACCTTTTTTCCGTAGACTTCTATTGAAAAAGTAGACTTCAAAAGTAGTCTGTCTGAGAAGTCTACTCGTACATGAAGTCTACTTTGTTAATCAATGCATCGGTCAAATGCTAAAGTAACCTTTTTGGCAGGAAGTCTACTTCTGAAGTCTACTGAAGGAAAAGTCAACGAAATGGTCAATTGCAAAAATAACCTGTTTTTTAGTAGACTTCTTTAGTAGACTTCACTATGAAAAAGTAGACTTCTTCGCCAGTCTACGTTTGAAGTCTGCTTTAGAAGTCTACTTATTGTAGTTTTTTTAAAAACGCGTTTTAGGCAAATTTATAAAGTAATTTTTTTATTTTTTGGATTAGAAATGCTTTTTATGAAGTGATTGAACTACCCAGTGAATTTCATTTCATTTCATCGATATTTATTGTTGAATCAGAAGTTTTGATTTTTAAGCTAGTTAGCTTATTAAAGTAAACTTCTCTAGCAGTCTACGGATGAAGTCTGCACACGAAGTCTGCTCGGTTTGGATATGTTTATTAAAGTAGCTTATTATTAGGTTTTTTTTTTGAATTTTTAGGTTTGGATATGCGTGTTAGCAAATGGTTGAACTACTCAATGATTTTCATTTGATTTAAGTCAAAATTTATTGTGGAATCGATTTTTTTGATTTATAAGCTAGTTATCTTGTAAAAGTAGGCTTTTCCAGCAGTTTACGGATGAAGTCTGCACACGAAGTTTTTTATATAGAAAAATTGTTACTTATGTATTTGCAATAATGTGATCATAATTTTGCTTGCTAATATGATTTCTTTGTGTTTTATCACAGAATATGATTTATAGAGAACGATGGATGAGAACTTGTGTATTGCTTCTGTATTCTGTTTGCAAGATAACAGTTATAGTACACACTACAAAAAAAATTGTTTATTGCAACAAATAATTACGTGGCAAGCATTAAATTTTTTTGGCAATGTAGACATTTACCACAAATTATCACGAGCATAATTTGTGGCTATAGAGTTGTTACAAACATATTTTTGTGGCAATTTTTGGCAAAATTACTACAGAATGCCACAACAATATTCTCTGATTAATTAGCCACAACTTATCCAGAAAATATTACAGGCAAATTTGCCACAGGTTAATACAAAATAATTGTGGCCCAATGTAACGAATTACCACAAAAATTGTTTTTTTCACAAAGCAAGATTACTGCAATATAATATGTGGCAATTTGTCACACATTGCCATTGATTAATTGTGGCAATTAGTGTAAATGTTTCAAAAAAAAATCAATTAGAATTTAATAATAATCGTTAATACAAAAACACTGATATAATAGAGACATGATTTCTATTAGAACAAAAGTCATTAAAATTACTATTAATCTAAAAAACAGAGCTATTACAAATGACAAAGTTTGTTAAGGTTATGGTTTGGTAGATCTCCACCGATGGACTCTGGACAATCTCGGTTATTGCTGACACCAAATGGTTGGATAAGCTGAAGCAAATCATTATGTTGAACAAGAAACAAAATCGAGATGCATAATTTTCTAATTAACTCATTGACAGAACAAGAACAAAAAAACAATAGAGAAAGAAGAAGAAGAAAAGGGATTTTACTTCAGAAATCTCATGTCCAGCAATGTGAAGATAAATAACTTTGGAAGATTCCGCCATTTAGAACCTGCAAGCCAAAGAAACGAAGCATTTGATTGCCATGGCAATATATGAGATCCCTTGCCAATCATGCAATCTCAGAATTATAACAAGGATGAAGATATGAAAACGTTTCAATATAACTGAATTATAAGAAGCGCTTAAGTACTGAAAGATGAGTTTTATACTCAATGACTCGATGTACCTGATTAGGGTGTAAAGCAATTGTGTCGAAATTGTGTTCAATGGCAGTCAAAATTCATGTTAAAAGGAGCAAAACAAAACCAATACTCAGTGGAGACCAAACTTTAAACGTTCTGTCTAAATTCAGATGTTATATTAAAAGAAAACATTTTGGATACCTGATCCTTCCATGCTTTAAGTGAAACGTCAAACTTTGCATCAAAATCATGAGCATCCATGGGTTCCATCTCCATCAAGTTCACCACAAACCTCCATAGTTATCTTCTTTTCCATTTAAGATCTTCTGAGCTCCAATGTCCATGCTGAAAGCAAGTCACATCACAATAGGCATACCGCAAAATTTACAACAATTTTAGGACACGTAAAGACAAAATCAGAGAATTCAGGACAGGAAGAGAACTCATTTAGGTAACACAAAACCAAGAGAACCCTTCCGAGAGAATCCCTAACAATATCTCCGACAGCTTCTTCACATGCACTGCGTACTCTTCGTTCACATCCCTAACACAGAAGCAGAGTACCACGACGATTACGATTACAAACTTTTGGTTAAAAGATAGAAACTTTTTAAAAAGATAGAAACTTTTGGTTAAAAAGATAGAAACTTTTGGTTAAAAAGATAGAAACTTTTGTATAATACCTGTATTCAGGTGGATTCTTGGGCCAGAATCTGTAATTAACGCAAGACGGTGGCCAGTTTCGGTGGAAGAGATGATCGACCCATGCTTTTTTGCCTTCTAAATCTTTCTGCAGCTTCGTTCCGTATTCTTCTATGTCTTTTGAATCCTCCGGTTTCGCGACGGACTCATTCTCCGACGAAGGAAGCTTGAAGAACTTTCTTCCGACTTCCTGCAACCGTCGTATCAGCTCCGTCGGAATCCCGTGGTTAACGACCTGGGATATCCCCCACTCTTCGCTCGCCTTCACCACCGCACGCTTAGAGATCTTTTCACCAACGGATCTGGCGAAGTTGGAGGCTGTTCGACAGAAAGAGCGACATCCAACGGTGCGAGAAGAGTCAGATGAGTCTAGCTGGATGGTGAGAAGAGAGGCGAGAGAGGGGAGCACGAGCGGCGAGAGAAGCAAACAAGAGCGTCAAGCGATGCGCCATTTAGGAAAGAGGGGGAGAGTTTTTTTTTTCACTAAAAAATTAGGGTTACACGAGAAAAAAAAATTTTAGTTAAGATATTATTTTTGGTTTAATTTTGGTTTAAATTTCGATTAGGTTAATTTATTCGGTTTAGTAGACTTTAATATAGAAGTTTACAACTTTTAAAACCTAAATAATAAATTTTCTTCTACTTAATTTAAAAACCTAAATTTCTATTTAGCAATATGAAAAAATAATTTTTGTACATTTGGGTTACGATTACGGAATTTATGAACGTAAATTTGATACCAAAGTAATATTTTCTAAATTTTAAAATTAAATTTACAGATTTACTTACTTAGTAGACTTCATTTCGATAAAATGAAGTCTACTATTAGACTTTTTTCTCTCTTTAGTAGACTTCGTCAGGGTGTAAACAGTAATTAGGACATCCGTTTTTTGTTTACTCATACAATAATGGTCTTTTCACTATCCTTTAGGTTATTTCTGCCAAATGTTTTTTCAGGGGTTTACTTTTGTATTCAAAGTCTAAGTTTTGGGTTATTTTTAGCAAAAACCCCTTCTATTTAAGAATAATGACATGTGTTTGTTTGTAAGGGTCATGCGTTGCTCTTCTTATTGCCTAATATTTTTTTTTTAAATGGAACCCATGAATTTTTAAAAATCATAGTTTATGAACTAGTGTTTATATTGATAATATTATATGTAAATCTGAAATTTTTTTTTTTTTTTGAAATGAATGTTAAATTTATTCACACCAAAAAAACTGTTTTACAATGACTGCTTCTTTGTTTTGAGAAATTTAGAGCTTTAAATAGAGAAAAAGAAAAACTATTTTGGAGAAGCTACTTGTGATAATAGCTAAAGGCGTGCAAACCAACGAAACATCCCGTCTTCGTATCTCTTGTCTCCAGCCAGCCGAATAGCACTGAACCGATTTCACATGTTCTTATCAAGAAGATTGATCATTTGCTGTGGTTGCGTGTGATTTTCTCCATGCCGCCGACGGTTGCGTTCGCTCCATATATGATATATTGCAGACTGGAAGATGTATCTTGTGATGAACATCTTGATATGATCCGTATCAGAGGTTTTGATCCTGATGAGCAGAGAGTCCCAAGCCGTTGAGTAAGATGTTCCTAAAAGTTTAGAGGTGAGAGCTTTCCAAACATTAGAGGAGTAGTTACATTCGAAAAAAAGATGATTTCGAGATTCCGGAGAGTGATTGCAGAGAACGCAATTTCCCTGATTCGTTCCTCCCCTACTCGACATCCGGTCTGCCGTAGATAGTCGGTTCAAAACAGCCAGCCAAGTAAAAAAGAGTACTTTGGCGTGGCATGTTTGAACCAAACTCCCTTGTGCCAATCCACCAGATTATGAGCCTCTCGAATATGATTCCAAGTGCTCTTTGTTGAGAACTTTCCCTTGTATCTGTTCGCCGAAGCTTTCCAAAGGTAAATGTCTTCTCCCTCCTTTCGATCCCTTTTAACAACAGTAATAGCTTCTTCTATCTGATTCAACTGCCCTGTTCGATGTCTCCTTCTGCGGTGGGATCTAATCACTGCAGCGACGGTTGCATTTTCAGGGATTCCCAGTTCAATATATCTGCTAGAACCTGTAATATCAATCAATCTCCCCATTGGCGACCAAGAATCGTACCAAAATAGAGAATTTTCACCGTTATGAACCTCCACTTTGAGAAAATCCTTTGCTTTATCCCGATATTTGAGCAGGGTTTTCCACATCCACGAACCTCCAGATGTGTTGTCTTTTACTAACCAGACTGATCCTTGCCTGCAAAGAGTGCTTTTAATCCAATGAACCCACAACGACGGTTGGTTCGAGATGATTCTCCAGAGAAGGTTTAAGCAGCTCACTGTATTTGCTTCTTTGAGTGGTCGAATTCCAAGGCCTCCCTCTGCTTTCGGTCGACACACAATGCTCCATGCAACTTTTGCCTTGTTTGTGTTCAAGTCTGGTCCAGACCAGAGGAAAGCAGCGCAAAGTTTTTCTATATCTTGTATACATCCACTTGGGAGTTGAAATGCGGCAATCCAGAAATTCATGATACTCTCAATAACAGACCGAAGCAATTGTAGCCTACCTGCAAATGAGAGATATCTTCCTCGCCAGGATTGGAGTTTCAGTCGAATCTTGTCAATTAACAGTTCATATTCAGCCTTTCTCATTTGCTTCGTTGTTAATGGTAGACCCAGGTATCTAACCGGAAGCTGACCTTCAGTAAATGGGAAGCTCTCCATGATAGAGTTGCGAGTGTGTTCTGAAACTCCGGCCAAATAGATAGTGGATTTTTGAAGACTGATTTTAAGACCCGATTTCACTGCAAATTCATCAAAAATCTGAATTGTTGCCTCTATTGATCGCTGGTTTCCTTCAATGAAGACCATTACATCGTCTGCAAAACATAGATGAATAATTTGAATACCCTTGCACTTTGGATGATATCCAATTCTCCTATCCATTGCTGCTTTGTCCAACATCTTCGACAGAACGTTCATGCAAATCACGAATAAGTACGGAGAGAGAGAGCAACCTTGCCGCAAACCTCTTTTGCTATTGAAATAGCCTGCGAGTTCCCCATTTACTTGAACGGAAAAGGAGGCTGAAGTGATGCATAACTCAATCCAGTGTATGAAATTCTGTGGAAAATTTAGAGCAGTAAGAGTGTTCAAGATGAAATCCCATTGAACAGAGTCGAACGCTTTCGATATATCAATTTTCATAGCACATCTTGGGGAAATATTCTCCTTATGGTAATCTTTGACCAGTTCTGTCGCAAGCAGTACATTTTCCATAAGCAGTCGATCTTTGACAAAAGCCGATTGATTTCCACCAATAAACTTAGGCAGCATCATCTTCAGTCTGTTCGCAAGAAGTTTTGAGATTACCTTGTAGATGACGTTACAACACGATATAGGTCGATAATCTTCATCTGTTTTGGGAATAAGCGCAAGGATCGTCGAATTGATTCCCTTAAGCAGGAAACCTTTGGTGAAAAACGACTTTACGGCAATGATAAAATCATGTCGAATAATCGGCCAGGCTGATTTGAAAAATTCACTAGTGAAACCGTCAGGTCCCGGAGACTTGTCATTTGGCATGGAAAATAACACTTTTCTGATTTCTTCACCGGTGACTGCCGTCTCAAGATACTCTCGGTCAATATCTGAGCATCGGAAGGCAAGGAGAGATTGCAGGTTCTCTATCGTCTCACCTTCGTATTCTTCCGGAATATGTGTTAAGAACTCTTTAAAAAATCTCTCTTCTTCAATTTTGATGTCATCCTCAGATTTTAAAGTGTCACCAGCTCGATTTACAATCTCCCGGATGGAGTTCCTCATCTTGCGAACCTGGGCTGACTTATGAAAGTAAGAATTATTTCCATCTCCAACTTTAAGCCAGTGGACCTTTGAGGTCTGTTTAAGAAAATTCTCTTCAAGGTAAGACAGATGTTGCCATTTTCGAAAAGCTGCGGCCTCTGCTTCCATTTTTTCTTGAACTGGATCAAGCAGAGTTTCAGATTGCTTCTTAGTTCTTACACAGAATCTCGTGGGCTTCCTTGGTTCTTTTTGGCAAATTACCCAATTTCTCCTTACCTAACTCACGGAGGATTGGCTTCATGGCTTTTAACTTCTTGGACATGTCATAGCTTGTTTATAATCAAGTCAAGTGTTTTTGTTTTGTACAAATCACAAGCATTGTGCTCATATTTATATATCTTCCACTTGCTTTGGATTCACTGTGTCTGTGACTACTCTAATGATGTGCTATCTTAAGTTATGTAAACTTTTTAGGTTTTGGGATGGAGTATAGTGGAGGACGAAACGGGCGATCTGAAAATAAGATGATATCAAGGCTTCTGATCTTTCTTCTCGGAAAAGAGTTTGGGCATGACAAACTTTGCTATTTTTGTTGTTCTTTCTCATTTTCATACTTCGTAATAGTTTCGTTTGATGATATTTTCACATGTAAAATTATATAGATGCTTATTCATCATCATCTTGGATATCATTTGGCATAAGAAAATAATACGGATCTAACATAATAAGGATCCAAAAAGGGAGCTTTGAGAATATTATAAAATATATCTAATGTGTGATTCATAATGATAGCATTTGGCTTAATAAAAAAATTGAGATCTAATATAATAAGGATCCAAAATGAAGACTTTGAGAACAGTAAGAGATGTAAGTAATGTGTGTGATTCATAAGGACATGTGAAAGGACAAATGATTTATTCATCAATCAAGAGAAGCAGTTCTACTTCGGACTATATGAAAGTCTCTTTAAGATGTTATAATTGACTGAAACATAAGAAATGCAACATTATCATTAGATCTTTGCTTTGTTTATTTTCCTATAACAATCTGGGATTAACCCTAAATTTGACATAATGTCTTACATAGCTATATGTAATCCTACAATGTAGTTGGAGGGCCAGCAATTCGGGAGCATTGTTGCTTTAGCATAGGAGGGAAAAACGGATTGAATGGAAGATTCGGTGTGCAGTTTGCTTCGGCTTCTAGAAATGCTTTACAACAAGCAGGACCTATGTTACCAAATTTGCCAGTTATTATGGACTGAGAGATTTCCGCAAAGCATCCTGGAATATTCATCAATGTTGACAAACATTTGGTTATGTCGGGCATTCCTGGCATACCAGGACTCGGTTGGAATGGAAATGGAAACGGAAATGGAAATGGAAATGGTAGCTGAGGTAGTTGAGCATTCACGGAAGCTGCAATGCATATAGCCACTATAAAGAAACATGCACTCTTGATCGACATGATGGATATATTGGGGGTTATGAAACAAGAAAAAAAAAAAGAGAAGACTTAGAAGTCTAAGAATATGATTTTGTTAAAGTCTGTGTTTTGTTTGATAAAATTAAGTGATTGGCTATTGATCTAATTTATAGTGGAAAAATGGAGTAGGGATATTAATTAGTAAATACTAATTAGCCTAAGGAAACGTATTTGAGTTAGATATTTGAACGTACTATCGTTTTAACTTTGAAAAGAAAAATAGTAAAAAAAACGTTTGATCAATGACTATGATGCACATTGGATTTGATAGACATCAAGCACTTTGACTACTTTTTCCTCTTACCATTAATGATGTTTAGAGGGTCGACAATATATTGTTTTCTTTCCTAATTGTAACTGTTTTGTTTATGAACCGTTCATCTCTTCGCTTTGATACGGACATACGGTCCATGTATATAATTCGGTTTCATTGACTTGACAGTATGATACCAAAGAACTACTAGATGAACAAATGAAAGCTAAATCAAATATAAAAATCAGATTTTCCCTTGCCAAAATATATATATTTCTGGTGAAATGGTTAAAACTATTATCAAATTTATCAGTATCTTATTATAGAGTGTAACAATGAAACTTCTGCAAGTATAAAATCACAAATAGCTAGGCAATTCATTTTGTGATCCTGAGAAATGATAAGTGATTTGAATTTAGTCCAACTTAATTAAATAAAATGGGGAATATCGCATTTATAACCATCAAAGTACAAATCACTAACACTTTATACCTTTGAAATTTTTTCACTCTCATTCTAAACCATCAAAAGGAAAAATATTACTTCAAACAATCAAACTAGCTCTCGTAAAAAATGAGGAATTTCGTGCTTGACTGATTCCGTTGGTATGCCAGTATAAGAATTAAAAACAAAACAAACATTCTCATACGTTTGGAGCTTTTGATAATTTATAGGTTTCTTCAAACGATTTGTTTGTTGTTGACTTGTTGTTGTCTATTGGATGAACAATACAGATGGGTTAATCATGAACGATTTGATAATGGTGGCCAAAAGAGATTTGATGATATATCCCTTCATTGTGTATGGATGGTCCACATGTCAAATTTTATAAAAGCTATGTATTCATCAACATCTTGGATAGCATTTGGCATAAAAAACAAATATTGAGATCGAACATATTAAGGATCCAAAATAAAACTTGAGAACATTAAGAGATATTTCTAATGTGTGTGATTCACAAGACATATAAAAGAACATATGATTTATTCATCAATCATAAGAAATGCAACACTAGTATTAAGAACTTTGCTTTTTTTTTTTGGTACCTATAACATTCTCAGATTAACCGTAATTTAGAAAGAAAAATATAGTTTCACATAACAATTTGTAATCCTAGAGTGTGGTTGGAGGACCGGAAATTTGTGAGCATTGTTGTTTTAGCATAGGAGGGAAAAAAGGGTTGAATGGAAGATTTGGTGTGCAGTTTGCTTCGGCTTCTAGAAAAGCTTTACAACAAGCGGGACCTATGTTACCAAATTTGCCTGTTATTATGGATTGAGAGATCTCCGCAAAGCATCCTGGAATATTTATCAATGTTGACAAACATTTGGTTATGTCGGGCATTCCTGGCATGCCAGGACTCGGTTGGAATGGAAATGGAAATGGAAGTGGAAACTGAGGTAGTTGAGCATTCACAGAAGTTGCAATGCAGATAGCCACAATGAGAAAACTTGCACTCTTGATCGACATGATGATGAAGACTCAGAAGTCCAATAATATGATTTTGTTAAGTTTGTTATATTTGTTTGATGAATTTAAGTGATTGGATATTCGGTCTAATTTATAGGACAAAAAATGGAAGCAGGGATACTTATTACTAATCAGCTTGGTTAAACGTATATAAGTTACAAAACAAAATGTACCATCGTTAATAATAAAAACAGTAAAACGTTTGATCATATGCACTTTGCAGTAATAAAGCATTTTGACTACTTTTGTATCTTACCATTAATTATGTTTTGCGGTCGATAATAGATCTGTTTTCTTTCCTAATTGTAACTGTTTTGTTTATGAATCCGTTTATCGCTTCCCTTTGACACAGTCCATGTCTTTAATTTGCTTTGACTGACTTGACAGTATGATACAAAAGAACTAGATGAACATATGAAAGCAAAAGCAAAGCTAAAAAATCTGAATTTCGTGCCAAGATAATTACTTAATTATCAAAATTATCATTATAATAAATTTAAATAGAAGTGTGTAACAATGCAGCTTATGCAAGTATTTAATCACAAAAACAATTTGATACGTATTAGTTATTTCTTAAATTTCCTTTTATTATTGGTACTGTTTCTTTTTCTTTATTTTCCTTTTATAAACTGCTGCTTTTTAGGGTTTTAATAGATATAGGAGTTAAGTCTTGATTGTAAGAATCATCCAAGGAAGAGATCTTTGGAGGGTTTATCAGTTGAGGGAAGATAACATATTTCTCTTAGTTGTTCTCTTTGGGGTTTTCTTTACTCTGTTTCTGTTTGCCATTATTTTATAATTGCGTTGGTCATTCAATTCGATTCTATTTTCAACAGATCATGAAGAAACTATAAGTAACTACTTTCAATTTTAATTTAATCCAAATTAGAACAGAAAAATCACATTTTTAAGCATCAAAGTACTGATTACTAGCACTTTATATTTTGAGATATCATCACTCTCATTCTAAATTATCAAACTAAGACAAATCTTACTTCAAACAATTAAACTAGCTATCGAGAAAATTTAAAGGGATTGCTCACTTTCTTTTTAATTAAGAATAATGACATGTGTTTGTAAGGGTATATGTGTTGCTCTTATTATTGCCTAATTGATTTTGTAAATAAAACCCATCAAAATTTTTTCAATCATAGTTTATGAACTAGTGTTCATATTGATAAATATTATATATGAATCTGAATTTTATATATGTCATAGCTTGTTTATAATCAATTGAAGTGTTTTTGTTTGCACAAATCACAAGCATTGTGTTCATGATTATATATCTTCTACTTTATTTGGATTCACTGTGACTACTCTAATGATGTGCTATCTTAAGTCTCTCTATATGTAACTTTTCAGGTTCTGGGATGGAGTATAGTGGAGGACGAAACAGGCGGTCTGAAAATAAGATGATATCAAGACTTCTGATCTTTCTTCTCGGAAAAGAGTTAGGGCATGACAAACTTTGCTATTTTTGTTGTTCTTTCTCTTTTTCATACTTCGTAATAGTTTCATTTGATGATATATTCGTTAATTGTGTATTGATGGTCCACATGTAAAATTATATAGAAGCTGTGTATTCATCATCATCTTGGATATCATTTGGCATAAAAAAGGGATCTAACATAATAACTAATAAGGATCCAAAAAGGAAGCTTTGAGAATATTAAGAAAGAGATCTAATGTGTGATTCATAATGATAGCATGTTGCTTAACAAAAAATCGAGATCTAACCTAATATAAGGATCCACAATGAAGACTTTGAACAGTGAGAGATGCAAGTAATGTGTGTTATTCATTAGGACATGTAAAAGACAAATGATTTATTCATCAATCAAGAGAAACAGTTCTTCTTCGGATTATATGTAAAGCTTTAAGATTTTATCATTGACTGAAACATAAAAATGCAACATCATCATTAGACCTTTGTTTTTTTTTTTGATTTTTCTATAACATTCTGGGATTAACCCTAATTTTGAAATAATTTCTTACATAACTATATGTAATCCTACAATGTGGTTGGAGGGCTGGCAATTCAGGAGCATTGTTGCTTTAGCATAGGAGGGAAAAATGGATTGAATGGAAGATTCGGTGTGCAGTTTGCTTCGGCTTCTAGAAAAGCTTTACAACAAGCAGTACCTATGTTACCAAATTTGCCAGTTATTATGGACTGAGAGATTTCCGCAAAGCATCCTGGAATATTCATCAATGTTGACAAACATTTGGTTATGTCGGGCATTCCTGGCATACCAGGATTCGGTTGGAATGGAAATGGAAGCTGAGGTTGTTGAGCATTCACGGAAGTTGCAATGCATATAGCCACTATAAGGAAACATGCACTCTTGATCGACATGATGAATATTTTGAGGATTATGCAACAAGAGAAAAATAGAAGACTCCAATAATATGATTTTGTTAAGTTTGTTTGTTTGTTTTTTTTTTTTGTTTAATGAATTGAAGTGATTGGATATTTTGGTCTAATTTCTAGGAAAAAAAATTGATCAGGGATTCTAATTACTAACTAGCTTGGCGAAACGTATATAAGTTACAAAACAAGTACCATCGTTAAACATAAACAGTAGAAACGTTTGATCAACGCAGTAAACTCAGTAATGAAGCAGTTTGACTAATAATGTTTTGGGGTCGACAATAGATCTGTTTTTTTTCCTAAATATAACTGTTTTGTTTATGAATCCGTTTATCGCTCCTTTGACACTGTCCATGTCTGGAGTTTGCTTTGATTGACTTGACAGTATGATACAAAAGAATTATCAAAATTATCTTTATAATAAATCTTATTATTTTTGATTTGCACCCATGAGAGAAATTTGTGAAGAATAAGGAAGCTTTCACTTTTTTTCTATTTCACTTATCCTACGAGTGAAGAATAAAGAGACAAATAATTTAGCACAGAGTGTATGGGTCCATCTTCAAAATATGATTTATGTAAAATCGATATTATCGGTTTGGATTACCGTACCGTTCTAGGTACTGTTAAAAAAAAATAATCTTATTATAAATGTGTAACAATGTGAGTTACGCAATTTGATACATAATAGTTATTAGTTAACTTTCCTTTAAATCATTCTTATTGATTCTTTTTCTTTATCCTTTTCTAAACTGCTGTGTTTTAGGGTTTTAATAATATACTAGGGATTAGCCATCGCTGTAGCGTAGGAAATATATATTTTTTATAAAACTCAATTTTTTTATAATATATATTTTTGGGCTGAATTATAAAAAATGAGTTAATCCA